GACATTTTCTTCTATGCTATCGATAAAGAGCCATTGCTCGAAACGTCTAGCTATATTTAATAGTTATTTAGGACTATGATTACCAAATATTATCTTCTAGATTTAAATAGACCGTCACCAGCTTTGATTTCATCAATACGAAGATGCAAGCTCACCAATAACCTAGTCACATACACACAACTGACCAACAACTTACCTTTGCTTTGATATTTTTGTGAATAAACATGGCGCGATGGAAATGCCGAATTCCAAAGCTAAACGCCTTGGATACACAATACTTACGACCGTAACTTGAATCTTGGGAGAATCCAAAATAGCCCTGATGGTTCCAGATGATCGTGATGTTATGGTACGTGGACTTAATATAAAAATAGTAACTAAATGATCCACACGAACGAATAATTGTGAAGCGAGAGACACGTCTTAAGGAAAAAAATAACGTTCCTACAATCTAACACCAGCCGACGCTTACCTGCTTTATTATATCCACAATTAATGGACTAATAATGTTGGGGAATGCATATCTCTATCAGGGGGTAATTCTTCTCTCTGGGGTTCTCCACACTTTCCAGGGGGGAATCTCGTCTCTGTCTCTATATCTCGTCCCCTTGAGGTACAGGATCAGGAAAGTCAGTTAAGCTTTACAGTCAAATAAGACACACACAACGAAATACGGTTCAACTCTCGTCTTAGTCAATCAGTCGAGCACTCTATAAGACACAGCGTCCTGGGGAAAAGTCCCCAAGACTATCGCATGGCTGAACCAAGACTCGCCCAAGACTCCCAAGGACTGGACTCTCGACTCTCCAGGACTGCGTCTGTCGTGCTGTACTCGCCAAGAGCAACTAAAACTTTCTTTATTCATTTTCAAAACTCTAACCAATTACAATGCAGTAAAAAGACTCTAGGGTGTAACCTTCAATCATAAAGCCAATCACACTAAGTACTGAATACGTCATATCTTTTGATTAATCGTTCACTACATTAATAACTACGAATACCAACTGTCAGAATTAGTAGTCCGAATAGCGACGGTTATCTCGTAATTAGTTCCAAATTACTGAGCCAAGTTCCGTCCAAAACTTCAAATAGGCCTAAACGATGACAGATATAACACAGCAATTCAGCTAATAATCAGCT